CCTACCACCACTGGGACCACTTTGGCCTGGGCAAGATGAGACGAGACAGTGTGTGTGTGTGCGTGTGCGCACGTGTGTGTGTGTAGCCTTCCCCAGTCTGGTGTGATGCATGCAAAAAGGGTCCGGTCTTCAGGTGCACACTTGCAGCCGCCATCGTCACCTTTTTGACTCCTCCCCCATGGATGTCCCTGCTTATGTCATGGCATCACACATGAGAACAGTGGAGCTTGTATGGCGACCCTGTTTTGTCATGTGCCCTCCTCCTTCAAAAGTCTGTGACCCCATCCCTTCATCTTACCACTGGTCTTTCCTTTCTACTCCTCTCAATCACTGGACTAATCACTGCTACGACTATTCGCACGGTTGTAGCCACCATCTTGATTTTCTTCCCTCACCTCCAAAAAATCCCTCCTTCCATATTTAGTTTCATAATTAAGTCTTCTGAGTCTTCTTTAGGTTGACTAGCAAAGTGGCGATGCCTGCATATCTTAAATTGTTTGTTCCAGAGGAAGAGAATATCTGTAACTCAAGGTTGAACTGTTGTGTTCTTGATGCCCTCTGAGCTTAGCTGGTTTTTTTGCAGACGTTGCATTACCAGGCTAGGTAACGTCATCAGTGCCCCTCAAGAAAACAACCAAGCCCCTCGCACTGATGACGTTACCTAGTCTGGTAATGCAATGTCTGCAAAAAATCAGCGAAGCTCAGAGGGCATCAGGGTCCCGCCAAATTGTTAGTGTTTCAACCTCTAGTTCTGATTCCAATTGTCATCTTGTCCGATCCTGCCATTCTTACACTATTCTTGCTATATAAATTAAAGAGGTATATAAATTAAAGAGATTAAAGAAATATAAATTAAAGAGATGAAATTAAGGAGAGATTTTTGCTATATAAATGAAACAGACTATGAATCCTTGTTTCAGTCCTTGCTTGTTGTGAACAAATTTTCAGTTTTTTCTCCATATTTCTCCAAATTCAGTTTTTACAATAGGTTCTTGTTCATCCTCAGGAGAATAAGTGTTCTGTTACATCTATTAGTCTTACTATATTCCACATTCTGGCGGGAACTACACACAGATTTTGCGCTAGTCTATTCATTAGATGTAAACCCCAACTTTATTATTTGTACAACTCAAGGTGGCATACATAACACTTGCTCCAACAACACCCCTTGTAAGGTCTTAAGGAAAATTTACCCTCCCTGGCTTCAGCTTTGGCAGCAACTACTCAAAGCTTACAAGGTGCATCTAATAAGTATCTCTACTGAATACCAAAAGGAAACCTTTAAACGGTTGCTTGGCTCTGTCTGTGGGAGAATGCAATTCCCCTCTCATACTCATTTCATTTTAAATCCAGAGCTTCTTTTCCCCACTTTTTGCACAGTTTAATGGAGCACGTTTGCTTTGCCCATCTTGGCTTGGTGCTGAATGAGTGTTGTTTGTTGACATAATCAGCATTCCTGCTCTGAGGAATCCCAGTTCCCAGTTGAACTCCCACAGTTAAACTCCCAACTGTGTAATTCAGTAAATTCTATACAAAAAGGAGTTTTGTTTTCTCTAAAAGGAGAAGAGAAGAGCTCACATCTGTGATATTTATGTTTTAAAAGCCTGTATTGGGAAAAGTTTACAAATATGACATCAGGAACATTCATGTTACAAAGTGTTTTTCTGGGAAATTCCATTACAAACCATGCACATTCAGGTTGTGTACAAAAAATATTTTGATATTTTGGGGGGAGTTACAGATGCAAACAGATGCAGATTATCCCAGGACTGTCTAGCTGAGGAACATTTCTGGAAAGCTTTTTAAAAATCCAGATAAATTAGGTCTATTAGATCATGCCCTATCCACAAGGGTTGTTGATGGTCTTAAAGAATTTTAAAACATTAATTAACATTAAGTAAGGCTTCCCCTTACTATTTCTTTCATTCCATTGTCACCCTCATTACCAATGCTGCGCGTGCTGTCTACATATCCCTTTTTTACAAATCCAGAAACTCCAGCCAACCAACGGTTCTGGAAGCCTAAAAATCATTTGGAAAAAAATAAAATGACCACTGGATGGAAGCAAAGAGACTTTTTCCATATCTTTACTGCCATCTAATGGTATGTCCACTTTTAACAGAATCAGGGGATCCCAAACTGAGGGGGAACCCCTGAAAATTCCAGCTGTACATGCTCTATCTGTTGCCCTGCCACCTTTTTGATATTAAGCACATCCTGCTTTCAGTGATGTGTATACATTAGAAGAGCAGGGAAGAATTTTAATATAAATAAGGATAAATAAATAGATCATCACTCATCCCTTTTGTCAAGGCCCAGCTCCTGTCCCAAACTGTTCCTTAAGGCCTAACAAATCTGAATGCCTCTTCCCAGCACCTCTGTCTCATCTACACACTGAGATCTCTCAATTCAGGTGTGTTCACCTGAAGGGGGGGTATTTAAAATCTGCAAGAGGGTGGGCATTTTGACCCCTTTCCTTGCAGCCACCCCTACCTCAACTCCAATTGCCTAGCTGCCCCCCAGATGGAGTATACAGCATTTTGGTGAACATACCCCTGAAAGTGATGTAAGAAGTATTTGAAACAAATAATAACATAAAATATGTTTAGAGCAGCTTCGGGCCCTAAATCCTTAAAGATTGCTTTGAGGAGGCAAAGGGGAAGAAAGAAGGAAAATAAAAATTTGAGTGGAGGAAAGTATTCCTAAAAAACTCCCCTTTCCTAAAGGCACACACACATAACATAGACGTAAATCAGCATTCAGCAGATTATAAAAATTGGCTTGAATTTTAATGGGTCTCCTAACAGTTATTTGAAGACAAATTTATGTGTGTGTCTTTTAATTCCCATTTACCGGAGGGATTCTGTTAGGTGGCTCAGTAGCTTGAGCGCTCCGTCTCTTCCAAATGGTTTTGCCAGATTTTCACAATGGATTAAACGATACTATTATACATTCCAAAGCCTAGATATGGAACTGATTAATACTGGGGATCTTGTCTGACATTCAAGAGAAGCAAACCAGGATGTTCTTAGCGTGCCCAAGAAATCCAGAAGCCACAAACTGCTGGATGATTCCAGGCCCTACAGAGCAACCACACACTCTGTGCCAGGGTATTCTGGCAAATTCAGTTCAAATTTCTTCTGCACGTCGTAGGGGAGGAAGCGCCCGGCCACCAGGTGGTGCTTGCCCATAAATCTCGTGGCACATTGTTTTGGTGCCGCCAAGGAGACGAGGACATCAGGGCTGATTCCATCACTGCTGCCCGTCTCCACGTCCCAACCTGCAACGAAAAAGCAAAAAAAGGCAAAATCAGGACGACGACAGGAGTGCTGCCTGATCTGAGCTGTAACAATCCAGATGTCCCCAGAAAAGAATGTGTTCTGTATTTCTCTTCCACTAATTAGTGATCAGAGGTTTTTACAGCCCAGCTCTGGAAGCTTTAATTAAAGAAAACTTTGGTGCTAAAGTACTGTTGGCCATTTGCACATCCCAACTTCTTCCCTAACTCACACGGCAGCAGTCTTCCAGTGCTTGAACGGCTGACCCAGGGAAGAAGGTGGGGATTTATTCTCCATAGCTCCTGAAGGTACGGCAAGAACCAGTGAGTGGAAGCTTTACGAAAGAAGATCCAAACTCAAACTAAGGAGGAATCTCCTGGCTGTGAGAGCTATAAGGCCAGGGTTTCTCAACCTTGGCAACTTTAAGACATTTGGACTTCAACTCCCAGAATTCCCCAGCTAGCATAGCTTGCCTCCTGGAGTTGTGAGGGCTCCATCTGTGGAGGTTTTCAAGAAAAGGTTGGATAGCCATTTGCCTGGATAGTCTGAGGATCCCTGCCCTGGGCAAGGGGTTGGACTAGAAGAACTTTAAAGTCCCTTTCAACCCCACAATTCTATGGACCAGAACTAGAAGTAATGGGATGGAATTTCAAAGATGTAGATATAGATTAGATATTAGGAAGAACTTGACAGTAAGAACTATCAAAGAGTGGAATAGGTTACTGCATGGAGTGGTTTCTTCCCCTTCACTGAAGATTTTCAAACACAGGCTGGATAGTCATCTAGTGGAGATGGTGTTGTACAGTGTTTCTCAACCGTGGGAACTTGAAGATGTGTGGACTTCAACTCCCAGAATTTCCCCACCACCATGGTGTAGGCCACACATCCTCAAATTCCCACGGTTGGAGAAAACCGTACAAAACCCACTCC